TGAACATACCAATAAACTACCATAGCCAATAACACATATGTAACTTATTTTATTTTTGTTGTTCATTTACATCACTTTCATCAGGCAATTTCTTTGTTTAATATCAGGTGTCAAAAGAGCATGGCACCTAGTAATGAATGTGCCAAATGTCTCCACTTCGTTCCACTGCCCCAGTGACTTGAATATCTTGGGTTCTGCCACCCTTCATGCAGATCTAGATCCCTCCGCTTCGCGTCGGGCTCCTGATCAGCCTGTCGGGTGTTCTTTTCCCCATAATGACCGCGTCGCTGCACATTATCCCTTACAAACTAGCTAAGTTAGCTAGATGTAATTCATTCTTAACTGTAGGCTTTTATCAAAGTATTAATTTACTTAATCTAAATGTAACAACATTTTAAATTATAATAACTTACATTTATGGCGTTATGACCTTCTTCTTGAGGTGATTGTGTCCAAATAAAGTTATGTCTGCTTCAACTTGCTGTTGTCTGTCTTGTCAGGCAGTTTTCCTTCAGCTCTGAAAATGACACCTTTCCCGCGTATTGGTGGCTCGAAGTTGCCGCGAGCGCTAGGGGGCAGCACTTATAATTCTTTTAATAACATTTTTTTTTTTTTTTTTTTTTATCTGCTTGGGGGCTTGCGCCCCCTAGCAGCGGCGCGCATGTTTTCAGCAGCGGCGCAGCGCCGCTGCTGAAAACATATAGGGGAAACACTGGAATGTAATAATGTTGTTTGTGGAAGCGTCAGTGAATGAGCCCCATTAACTGAGTTTTAAACATCACTTTGAATTGAAGATCCCCATAGGCCCCGCCCACTCGATCGGATCGGCGATCGGTATCGGCCGATACTATGGGTGTAACGGTACCCAGACCGAAATTATTCGGTGCGGGCCCTTTGGTTCGGTACACGTGTGTACCGAAGTATACCGAACAGATATAACGTGAACAACTTTTTGCATTCAGAGTAATTTGCTCACATTGTGTTCATCGCGTCATAGAGCGAATATCACCGGTACCAACAAAAAAAAGACTGAAGTACAAACCCAACTCCCACTAGCATTTAAGCCTCCAACACTCGCAAAAAGTTCAGACCGAGCCAAAGCTATTACAAACTCCAAATATCCTTATGTTGCCATGTTAGCAAAGCGCTACCTGGCTGTTTCTGCTACCTCTGTCCCTAGCGAGAGGGTGTTCTCCACAGCAGGAGACATTGTTAGTGCCAGCAGATCTGCCCTTTCGGCAAGCAATGTGGACAAGTTCATTTCTTTAAAAAACATGAAAATACAATGACAAGCAAGTCATAATGTCAAACTGGCTGCTTAGGTACTAGTACAGTTCACAAATACAGATTATTTCAGTTCATTGAAATGCTGCTCCTTAATGTTTATTTTATTATATTTTGTATTTATTTTAGTGAATATTCACAGTTTAATAATAATTTTAAAAAAAATAAAAATGTTTTATGATAATTTTTTCTGCTGTACCGAAAACGTACCGAACCGAAACGTGACCTAAAAACCGAGGTACGTACCGAACCGAAATGTTTGTGAACCGTTACACCCCTAGCCGATACTGAATCCGGCGATCGGCCCCAAAATTGGCGATCGGAGCATCCCTAATGTTAACCAGTGTTTAATGTTTTCAGGTAACATTTAAAAAGCAGAGATGCCTCAGAAACAGAGGTCTAAGTCCTGGACGGAGCTGAAACAAGCTGGAAATGAAAGTTTCAAGACGGGCCAGTATGGAGAGGCCATCAATATCTACAGCCTGGCCATCAAAGAGCTGGAGAAGTGCAGTAAGTGCTGCTTACATATTACCTGTTTGGATACATGCAAAATATCAGTTGGAACTTAAACATGTTTAATAAAAAATTCAGAAGATGGATGAACAGCACATATGCAGTAGATACAAGGCTATTGAACATTAGAGATGCTACCATAAGTTGAATAATGAATTGTCTAATCAACAGAAATATAAATGCAATTAAAAAAAATATATATATTTATGTCATATAACATTGGTTTAAGTAATTTTTTCATGCAAAGCAGGAGATACATTTTTGTCACTGTTTTTCCCATTGTATAGACAAAATACTTTAAATGATTACTTAGATAATTATCTAGGAAATAATTTGCAGATGAATAGTTATGGGAAATAATTTTTGAATAATAAAAAGAAACCTAAGTGTCAACCGTTTTTAATAAAAAATATTTCCCATCAACATATATTTCACATTGAAAATACTAATACACATGCCTACTTTGATAACAGATATATTTGAACTGACACTTTTACTAAATCTTATCACAATAACTGTCCATCTCATCACTTGGCATTGCTATTCTTTCGTGTCCTCAAAATGGAAATTGCAAAATGATTATTGACTGAGATTACAAGCCCAGTTTGGCAAAATGCTTCTCCTAAAAACTCTAATTTGTCTCTTCAGATAAGAAGGAGCCAGAGGATTTGGGCATTTTGTACTCAAACCGTGCAGCCAGCTATCTAAAAGATGGCAACTGTGCTGAATGTGTGAAAGACTGCAATATGTAAGTGTAATCATCTGTGACTTAATAAAATGTTTTATGTTGTCTGTATGGTTGGGTATCGATTGGATACTGGGAAAAATGTGTATTAAGGAAAACGTTTGATCTAATGAGTATTCTTATTCACAAATCACTCTATATAGTTTAATTATTAATATAATTGCTGTCATTGTAATTAATATTATTGCTGTTATTGTATAAAAGGATTTAATAATCATCTCCATTGTTTTTGCATTCACAAGTTAGTTCTAAGTGGTGCAATATAAGAATTTAAAATTCCCTTGGTCTCCTCTGCTGTTACTCTGCAATCTGCCTGTGCGACAGTGTTTGTCCAACACATGTCCTGCAATACATATGCTACATAATACTGTCATAATACTGTCATTGTAAAGTAAATAAATCATATTTTCATGATTTGAGGAGAGCGCAGCAAAAGACAGGGAGGCTGGCTTACTTAATAGAGAAAATGGTGGTCAATGTTAACAACAAAGAAGCTAAAACGCTTAATACCCTTCATTACGTGTTAGAGAAAGAACGTACGATGGGTTGATAAATATGAAGGTGTTTAACGGGCAGCGGAAACACTGTGTTCTTTTTTAAATTAATAATGTGATTATTGATCAGAAGTAGGATTGGGGCGGTATGATAAAACACTTTTATCACGATAGGTTTCCAAATCAAAATGGTTTTGCGGTATTTATGTATTTTTCCATGATTGGAAATATTCCCACATTATACTTATTGGCCCCACAAACAAACAATGTACGGCTGTTGGCCCTCATGAGTCTTATGTGGTGAAGGATTAAGAATGCATGAAACAACTTCACAATGTATGCCATTTTTTTTATTCTACAAACTTTGCGAAACAAACTAATCCCTTTCCTCTGGAACTGTAAAGTGCACATTCAGCATCATCTTGGGATGGAACATCAGACACGATGATAATTGTTCAGTGTTCCCTTTTTAGGTCTTATTTTCCCAGAAAAAGCTGTGTGGGTTGTGCATAAAACAATCCTTGTCCAGTGTAAACAATCCTTAATCCATGTGATGATTATTCCTATGGTCCAGTTTTCGTTGCAGAGCGCATTTTTACAGTGTCATTGTCTTCAGTGTCTATTTTTTCATTCAGCTACACATATAATGCTAAACACTTTGTAACTGCTGCACTCTTTTGTGTACCCCAGCATGCATTTTAGTGGTGCAGAAGTGAAAGGAGTCCCCTCATAACCTGTTAAGCCGGGGGCTCCCGCAACATCTTGCAAGAAACAGCGTCTGAGGGCTTCTTAACATTTAACAAACTATGAATGTTTAAATGTTAAGAAGCCCTCAGACGCTGTTTCTTGCAAGATGTTGCGGGAGCCCCCGGCTTAACAGGTTATGAGGGGACTCCTTTCNCCCCATAGAAAATCTTTGGAGGGAGTTGAAAGTCCGTGTTGCCCAGCGACAGCCCCAAAACATCACTGCTCTAGAGGAGATCTGCATGGAGGAATGGGCCAAAATACCAGCAACAGTGTGTGAAAACCTTGTGAAGACTTACAGAAAAATGTTGACCTCTGTCATTGCCAACAAAGGGTATATAACAAAGTATTGAGATGACCTTTTGTTATTGACCAAATACTTATTTTCCACCACAATTTGCAAATCAATTCTTTAAAAATCAGACAGTCATTTTCTGGATTTTTTTTCTCATTTTGTCTCTCATAGTTGAGGTATACCTAGGGTGAAAATTACAGGCCTCTCATCTTTTTAAGTGGGAGAACTTGCACAATTGGTGGCTGACTAAATACTTTTGTGCCCCACTGTAGGTGTTTCCATAGATCTAGTCTCTTTATTTCCCCCTCAAAGTGCACCAGATTGATGCATTTAACTACAAAATAAAAAATCTTACCGGGGGAGCATGCCCCCGGACCCCCCTAGAGGATTTGAGGTCCACCCCCACTTAAAATCACATTGATAGGTTCCTAAATACATTTACAATTTTTTTATAAATAGTAACCCATGTTTATTTGTGGGTAATATATTTAAACTATAGGGCTATCACTATGGGCCCTGCCTGTACCATCGCGTGAAGGGTCTGCTAACAAGCGACCAACAGAAAGGTTCATGTTAATGTTGTTGCACGTGACCTCAAATCTCGAATCTTCTGAAATACATTCTTCTGCTACAATACATTATACTATTTATCAAGTAAAGTATATTTGATATATACATATTTTTCAGCTGCAACACAAGTCAACAACCATTATTATTACGAGAAAAATATTTCACACCAAGCACAGATTCCGTAATTAATGAGAGTTAGGGTTTAAGTAAATTCCAGGTAACACAGCTAGATATTTATATACATGACAGGGAATGTGTAATGCTTAAGGTTAAAAGAGGTCATTATTCATATCTTAGAAAGGATTGCAATAACTGAAGAACAACTGAAACTGAGATACATAGGTCTAAAAAGTGATATTTACAGCTAAGCAGCTCTGTTCAATTCAGTCAAACTTTGAGATCTCACTAATACTACTCAATATTCATTTCAATGTGCCACCAGCCTAAATGCACCAATACATTAAAATGTTTTGACTAGTATGCAGCATTATATATCAAATCTGAGTTTTATAATAAGTTGGTGTGTAGTGTAACACATAATTACAGGCCAGATGCAGCTAAACACATGTATTACCAAAGAGGGTATTACAATTAGTGTAGACCTACTCAAATGCCTTGAATATTGTTTTCCCACGATTGACTTTCTTGTATATGTGTGAACAATGTGATCTAGTGTGGAAAGCATACACGTTAAGGAGGGGTAAAGTGGGCACTGTTACATAAACCACATTCCTACTTAAATTGAAGAAGAATGAAAAGACAGAAAGAAATAGGTTCAATAAACATAACAGATGGTTGCCATGATATATCAAGTACATTCGTGATGTCTCTTTGAATTACATCAGCAACAGCTGTCTACCACAAGCATGCAACAATAAAATACATCCATAATTGTACAGTCTCAAGACTCCAAATAAAAGTGAGCCATAAACCAAAGGGTAAAAGCAATAAAACCCTGTGGAAAACACTAGTTTGCAGCTATGCATTATGGGATTCCACAGTCCACCAGGCACTGTCACGAGACCTAAACAAAATTGATCTCGACACTAATTAGCTACTGACAGTCAGCATATAACGTAACCATTGACTATCAAGTTCCCAAAAAAACAACAACAGCTTGTTCCTTTCTTAAATAAACAGAGCTGCTTCAGCCTATATACATAATACATAATTATGAGATTCAGTAATTTCCAGTTTCAATCAAACAGAATAAACCCGTTGAAGACGTAGTTTTGTTTTAGATGGTTAACGGAAGAAATAACACCATTTTCCAGCTTTCCACCAAATGCACGCAAAGTGGCCGTTCCTGAAAAAAACATGACGGCCCTGTTATAACGTTAACGCTACACAGTAAACGTTGGTTAAACCGAGCGACGACAGAAACAGCTTGAATTCCGTCTAATTATGAAACGTTAGGTAAACACTATCTGATAATTCCGAATATTACCTAGCTCATACATACAAGGTACCACTGGCTAACGTTATTTGCGTTTGCGGTACCGCAGTGCATTTACATACAAGGGCCCAAAACAGACCACCGCTAACGCACCGGCTCAGGCAACCTAGCTAACGTCACTAGCTCTCGATAGCTATTGTTAGCTAACCTGGCCAACTTAAATCAGGATCAAACTTACGTTAGGAGCTAACGTTACGTCGAGTTGACCGGTATCAGTGAGCTATGAGACAAATGCTAATTGGCTGACAACTTTGCCAATAAATAAGGCTATGGTTTCAAGATACAATAAAACAGAGACATGCAACGTTAACGTTACCCCTTTCATAGCTAAAGGTATACCAGAGTGTCTGACAGCACAGTGTAAAGATGGCCAAGTATGCTTATTGCTAGCCAGCTAACATTAGCCGGCTATCTAAGACTGCTGGCTAATCGTCTCTTCAGCACCAACCAAGTGCATGGGCTGGCAAGTGTACCTACCGATAGACAACGGTAAACAGCGAGTCTCCAGCATGTAGCTTAGCTTGCCGTCAGCCCCAGGCCTTAACAAAACGAAAACTAGCAAAACACGAAATTCCAGCAAGGAAAATGAAGCGTTTAAAACTGATTCTGACAGGCGCGAAAAGGTAGATCATCGGAGGGCACTTTTCAAGATGGCGGTTCCGTCAACTTCAGCGACCCCTTCCCCCACTACAGCTACAGCCTCTGTCACTCAAACTGCCGCAGCAACGCTATTGGTGGTTATCTCATCTCTCAAACTAGGCCGTGAAATGTGATTGGTTAAAGAGCGTGCCACAATATTTCGTCACTTAATCGAAGTATGTATTATGTGGCCCGGAAGAGTGGAGTTTAAACGGTTTCATTAGATGCGTATTTTAAGTAAAATGCTTGTGGTCACAGAAGAGGTGAATACAATCAAACTAGGTGATCTCATCAGTAATAAAAAAAAATGTGGGGGAAATGTCAGTAATGTCAACGTTAACCCCGCTCGCACGTTTGTTCGGTATTACAAATCAAACGTACTCTCACAGTACGATTACGCCCATCGTTCTCCAAGAAACGCCCCTTTTACTGAAGGTTACAGATGGTAGCCGGTAGTACAGTACTGAGATGAATTTCAGCATGGTTTTCACCCGTTTGGTGATGTTTCACCAGCTAATACAAATGGAAGAGATGTTACCAAGTTTGCACACGAGTCAATACTTAATCCTTTCCTCGTGCTAACTAAAAATATTCCATTTAAATAAATAAATAAAATGCTACCACCATAACATTAGTGCCATTACCGTCAGGGTGTATTGTTGTTGGAAAAATACAACAATCCATAGTCTTCAACGCAACATATGATACCTAATTTTACTATTTAAGCCTTTTTAGTCTGCTACAATATTAATCAACCCTTTTTTCAGCTGAGTCCGTCTCTCTTCTTATCCAAGTTATTTGTTATGCTG